TTGTAAATTAAAAAAATAAACATAAGGTACCTACTAATAATACCTTATAAAAATATATAAATATAAAAAAAGTGTTTGAAGTCAAAAAAGGTTAGATCGAAGCAGTTAATAAACCAGTTATTTGAGAATTTATGAATTCTGGGGGTGGGTTATACAACTCGATTAACCGATTTATCTTATTTCACTTATTTTCTTAAATATGGTAGGCGTAGTTTGCATTCCTCCCCTTTATTCTATGATGTTTTTTTTAATTGTAAATCCAATTTTTTCTTATTGTGTGATGAGTGTATTTCTAATTAGGGAAAAGTCATGTAAAAAGATTTTGGTTTTTTCTCTCTCGATACATGTCGAATATCTTAGTTAACTTGTAAGTCGTCAAGGATGAATTAATTAAAAAATTATTGACATTAAGCAAAACAACCCTGTCGGTCTACAGAAAAATGAAAGGGTTAGAAGCGTTTGAAATGTGGTGTTGTAGGCGAATAAAGAAAATAAAGTTTGTTCTCGTTTCGTACCTTACCCTTTATTACCTAAGCCGAAGGATATAGTTATGCTCGTTTCGTACCCTGACGAGGGTAGCTGTAGTTAATTACATAAACATCCTAATTATTAAATTTTTTCGTGCATAAACGACTGGAATCACACACGTTGCTTCTTCAGTGCTATGTCCATGTGAATGGTATGTATAATTCTTGAAATATTGTTGGAAAATGCCTAAATACTCCGTCCCCAAAAAGGATTTTACTTTGATTCAATAATTTTCTACCTTCTGTCTTCGGCCATATTGTCATAAAAAGCAAATTGTTGGTATTTTTCTGGAATACCAATTTCCTTTCTATGCTTTGGCAGATTTTGAAGCCTTAAGGAACTATGTCGAACCGAATATAATGGTTTTTTAACATAATGGAACCTTGGAACTGTGTTAGCAAGAGAGACCTTTGTTAGTTGCATTTTTCGTTGCTTCTTCTTTACTAATTTGTTTTATGGAACCATATTATTCGCGAGGTGTTTTCATCACATTGGAAATGCAGAGTAACACAGGGGGATTTATCTTTATGGTAGAAAACGAGAATAAAATTAGTCGAAGCAGGTATTATTTGATTAAGGTACGAAACGAGAAGGTACAGTAGGAGAATACACGTGAAAACATCGTCGATAAGGCGATATTGGAAAATATTATTTAGGATAATGAAAAGGACGCTTTGTAAGTCAATATGGGAAACGAGACTTAGAATTATATGGTTATATGACAACAGGAATCGGTTTATCGTTAGTTATTTTCGCATATCCTTTTGGTGTCGTAGCAAAAAGGATATACCCTTCGATACTCGATCGTTCTTATAAAATTTAAATTTTATTCGGTCATACGGTCGGCAAACTACATTGGGGACGAGGAAACTTATTCGGGAGCGTTCTCCCTTTTATTATATAGCAGTCACCGCAACGTGCGACAGTTTAAAAAATAATTATCGAACGATGACGTCGATATTTCATAAAAAATAATCGCATTAACGTTTCATTCTTTGTCGATTCATTTGCATTTTATTATTTTTTATTCGTAGGTAGTCAAATGTGAATGTATATGATGAATCAGATCATCAAGAGGAATACCACAATAATTAATTACTTATAGATACACTATTATTAGGTACATGCGGTACTCCCCTATTCAGAAATTTAGCAAAACTGTATGATTCAAAAGCAAAACTGTCTTTGTGTGTAGTATAACGAATACCCATCGAAATTAATTTTTAAAATATTGAAAACATTAATATTTTACCACATCAGGCGCATATAAAAGGGAGCTGTTAGGGATAATGACTCCCACTTGTACGGAAAGACATAAAACATAAATAAAATTTGACTGACGTACCTTTTAATTTTCTTAAAGTTTTTACATATAAAATCATTTTAATAAGAAATTTATGTTATGGTATTGTTAGCTGCCCTTACATGGAAGATTGTCGTAGGTACTATTGTAAACATAATTAATTGTTTAACAATAATCGTTTCATATGCCTAATATGTGATTTTGAACTTCATTTAATTAGATACTTTGCTCATCTTTTTCCATTTTATTTATTTTCTTAATATATGTTACCTATCTACTATTAGATTATTCTGAAATTCTCATTAAAGACTGATTCTCTTCTCTCATTTTTCTTTTTGGAAAAGCACCTGCTCTATAACTCCTTAATTAACTCTATATACTTCTAATACCTANGCCATATTCCCATGCGTTAATTAAAAAAATTCTAACTACATCTAACAAAATGAAATATGACCCGACCAAAATTTCTTTCACTATTTTTCCCGGAATACGGAGTATTTCAAATAAATTATAACGTCAGAACCAAGCGGTAAGGTCGGCATTTTCTACGATTTTGCCCTCTTTCCCCTTATATCTCGAAATGGGCCCAGCTTCCGCCTACACAAGTCAGCAGTATTTGTCCTGAATCGTTTGGTAATCCTACCAATTATGGAGTTCCGCAACCAAAGGACAAAACTCATTTAAAAAACTATATGGGATTTCCAGACTCCTTTAGTTTAACCCTTTTCATAACCAAGACATGAGAAAAGCCTTGTATAGCGGATTTCGCCGAAGTTCACGTTTTGTATAACTACTCCATTTACTACTTAATGATCAATAACTTGTTAAGTAATGAGTATAGTAGGTACGTACCTAATAAGTTTGAAATGTGAAAAAACAATTTGCCATATCTATTATCCCTAACAAAGTACTTTAGAGCAATGTTTTATTTTTGCCTTGTTGTAGATTATATAATTATCATTATATTGCATAATGCAAGAATTAATTCCCTTACAATTTATAAATATTTTTTCCTCTGACAGGACCTCCGTTTAGAACATTTTCTGTCATTATTTATCTTATGCTGGCATAATAAAAAGAAATGTGCAAGTACAAAAGGACGAGGTAGAGTACGTATATTATTCCGGTAGGTTAGGATGGGTAACAGTTCGTCCCTCCTCCCAAATATTTTATTAAGTATCGCATATAAACATATATAAATAATATCATTAAGAAAAAGCTAATAAGTTTTGTCCATTTTCGGAAAGTAATACAAACTAAGCGTTGGGAGTGAATATGATTTACCTTGACTTCGACCTTCCTCTAATATTCAGCTAAATTGTCATTGCTCAGCTACGACTCTTATTTATTGCCTGTACTAAATGAATCCAGGTAAACGCATCGTTTTTTTTCCAGGGTGACCGCCACCCGGTCAGCGTATCGAAGGTAAATATCCAGGTAAATTTATCTATTTGCCTAAGCCTAACATCCACCAATACCTCTTAGATTTTACAGCATTTATTATTTTATTTTACTTAATTGGGGTTTCGATATTTTTTTACCTTGACCCCTTCTCATTTTACATATGTGGCTGTGGTAGAGAATGTGTACATTAGTATAATTTTTTGGGAGAGACGGGGGGGGGGGATAATGCTAAAACTGTGAATGTGTATTTCGTCGAAAAAGATTTATTGCATTTATTATTGAATAATAGCAGCAGGTAGTTTTTAATGTCTCAAAATGCAAATTGTAAACCTAACTGAAATCATCTTTAGGAAATTCAAAAATAGATACATTTTGATTTAAGGAGGTTCTAATAATATCCTAATTAAATTAATAGTAAAATTAAAAAACATTTCTTACCTTTACTTGTGTCGGTATTTCACAACTTTGATCCTTTTTGACTCCTTCCAGGCTGATCTAACCGTAATGTCTTTTAAATGGGTGATTTTCACTTTAATTCAGAAAATGGGCACTTTGATCGACTTTGAGGTCGCAAATCACTAGACATAAGTGCCCAAGAGTCCAAAGGAGGTCGCGTGTTAGGAGTTGCGCTTGGAGGTACTTAACGAAGAAACACGTGATCTGACCTTTTGGCCCCGCCCCCGGCACCCACGCGCGATTAAAAGGCCGACGATCAGTGGCCACGATTGGCAACTCGTGACCAACGTCGCGTTCTCCATTGGTCGATCGGGTGGTGTGCGCCCCTCCGCCCAAACACCCTCATTAAATGTCATTGTTGTTATTATGCCCTTATTGCGTATGTTCACCCTTTCGGCAGCGTGCGCTACCTATAACGACTGCCTTCTTACCTCCCCCTCCCCCTCCCTATCCCGCTATTTTTGACTCGTTGTCCTCAGGCAAAGTGCTCAATTGTTGTCGGGTTTTGAGGTTTTCTAAGCTCATATTAGGAGGGGTTGACAGCAGTCGAATCTCTTTGTAAAGTAACAGGATAGCAGGCGTTATAAAGTGAGAATCGATCATTGTCAAATCCAACTGCATATCCGAGGGACTACAAGTCGCATCGTCTTGCTTCGCGAGAAAAAGTTTTTCCTATTACGTTTTCCCTTTTCTTATAACTTATTGACAATAGGTAATTTACTTCTCAAAGTAATAAAACATTACGTTTACTCATATACTACACTATAACAAATTCCTTCACAAATGTTAGCCTTCAAATACTGGATGGTTTGTAAGTTTTTTTGAGTTAATCTAATTCGTACTTATCTGGTTGATTTTTTCAGATAAAATTTGATAATTAGTATTCAATTTCTCTGTTAATACTGTTTCCTTAGATATTTCTTGCCTATAAATAACCAAATGAAACTTTTTTGAAAAGTGGCTTTTGAGCCACCAGGAAGGTATTTATAACAAATAATGGACTATTTAAATTTCAGCTGCACTCAATTTCAGGTTTATTATTACCACTAGTCGTAGTTAGGGAGCTGACTCTCAAAAAACATTCTGCCGCCTGGTATATCAGGTTTTTAAGTAATTTAGAGCATTTTTTCTTAAATATATAAAGACGGAATTTCGAGATAAAGGGGAAGGGGGGAAATCGTAAAAATTAAAATACTCCACATTCCGGGAAAAATAGTGGCCATATTCCCATGCGTTAATTAAAAAAATTCTAACTACATCTAACAAAATGAAATATGACCCGACCAAAATTTCTTTCACTATTTTTCCCGGAATACGGAGTATTTCAAATAAATTATAACGTCAGAACCAAGCGGTAAGGTCGGCATTTTCTACGATTTTGCCCTCTTTCCCCTTATATCTCGAAATGGGCCCAGCTTCCGCCTACACAAGTCAGCAGTATTTGTCCTGAATCGTTTGGTAATCCTACCAATTATGGAGTTCCGCAACCAAAGGACAAAACTCATTTAAAAAACTATATGGGATTTCCAGACTCCTTTAGTTTAACCCTTTTCATAACCAAGACATGAGAAAAGCCTTGTATAGCGGATTTCGCCGAAGTTCACGTTTTGTATAACTACTCCATTTACTACTTAATGATCAATAACTTGTTAAGTAATGAGTATAGTAGGTACGTACCTAATAAGTTTGAAATGTGAAAAAACAATTTGCCATATCTATTATCCCTAACAAAGTACTTTAGAGCAATGTTTTATTTTTGCCTTGTTGTAGATTATATAATTATCATTATATTGCATAATGCAAGAATTAATTCCCTTACAATTTATAAATATTTTTTCCTCTGACAGGACCTCCGTTTAGAACATTTTCTGTCATTATTTATCTTATGCTGGCATAATAAAAAGAAATGTGCAAGTACAAAAGGACGAGGTAGAGTACGTATATTATCCACACCTAACCGTCCACATAAAGGAAAGGGGCTGTGGGGTTGGAAATTGGGGCGCGCGGAAATCTTTTGTTCCTTTATCTCTCGCCAGGCTGATCCTGCTGTTGGCAAGAAACCGCGACCACGAATTGCTTTTAATTGATTTCCGATAAAAGGTTTCCCCGTTTAACACATAGTAGTGGTAAGTGTTGACATCTTCACGGTGTGAATCGCGACACATGGACGTCGACGGGTCGTATTCGCGTCACGGTGTCGTCGTCGTTTTTAACGCAGTTGACGCCGTGCCGCTTCACCCTTATACAGTGGATCAGTTGCTTCTTCTCTTACACTCTCCTTCGATATCAAGATTATCGCTCTTTATACACAGGCCACCCCAAAAGAAGGCACTTTCTAAAATATGTAATTTAAATCAACGGTAATAACTGGAAAAGATATTAAGATATATCTCATTAGTTTTCGCGAGCTCCAATGTATGATTTATAATTTATATATTATAATCATCTCAGTGGCGTAGCATAAGAGGGGGGCCAGAGGGGGCCATGGGCCCCGGGCGGCGCAAATGTGGGAGCGGCAAAGATGCTTTCTTCAGTTTTAGATAGAATCAAGTCCTTCGTAAACCTTTTCACTGCAATCTCAACCAATTTAAATAAAAGATCTAACATAATTGTAAAAATAGGAAGGGAGGCAAATTTAGGCTTCACCCCGGGTAGCAGAAATTCACGCTACGCCATTGGGTAATCTTTTCTGATTTTAAACAAGTACAGCGGAACTCGGTTATAATAACGTCATTTATAACGACAACTCTGATACAATGCAAAAATTTCTAGGATGCATTCCAATTTTTTCCTGAATTTTCGAAAACCTTTCATTGTTTCGAATTAACTTTTTGAAAATATCTGAACTTACACTTCTAAACTGACTTACAAAATTTGACCAAAAACGCCCCGGAATAAATACTGTACATATGGTGGTAAGAATAACAACCAAATTTGTCTTTTGTTAGAATTTTTATGGGCAAATATGTTCGCAGACGTTGTATTTTATAATATTTTTATATAGATACGATAAATGAGATCAAAATCGGGCTCCACGTGTGACGATTTAGAAGAATATTTTTGACCGCCATTAGCTCTTTGATATCTATCTTCTCCTGATTTTTCTTAGACTCTAATTAAAAACGATGAAGGGATGAAAGGTACTAACAAAGGTACAAAGCAGGTCATTAAAATATTATCGACGAACATTTCAATGAACATTTGAAATTATTGATCACACAACTCTTTTAAATTTGGGGTTAAATTACTAGTACCTACATAAGCATCTATATATTTCTGAAAGCATGTTTTAATTCATCCATGTCGACTGCAAACGAAAGTGTAACTCTGGAAATAAGAGATATTAGGAGAACAGAGGGCGTTATGGAAGTCATTAAGCAATAGGCGAGATAAATTTACCTCATACATGAAGGGCTAGTTAGAAGCATATTAGAAGCAGAAACAGGAGTTAAAAGGGGCAAAGGTAGGCTTAGATTAGATTACTGATCGGAAATAGTAGAGATGTAGGTTGCTCTAGTTTTCGAGAAATGCGAAGATTAGCTCAAGATAGGAACAAGTAAACTCAAGAAAAATGCGAAATCACTTATTCATACGTCAGTCTGTAAATCGATTGTTTCAAAAACTTTTTGATGTAGAAACTTGAAAATTAGCAAACTTAAATCATATTAACCCGTATTTTAAAGAGTAGGAAATAATAAAAAGGAAAAGGAATGCCGAAAAAATGTGAGCTGTGAGAGTATATTATTTTAAACAACTACATGAATCGAATAAAAAGAGGAGTGTATAATTTTTACATATGATATCCTCAAAGACATCATCAATGAAATGTGTTCCCCCTCTATACTTTCAAAATAAAATGAAAAGAAAAATTTTACATCTAGGATTCATTTTTTGTACGTACTTCGTTCCTTCATACCCCTAATCGTCATTACTTTGAAGTTTTGGAGATCATATTTTTTATTATTATATTTAAAGAAAAATTCAAGCCATTCAAAAATTTGTTTATTTTATTAAGTCAAGTTTAGTTTTTAAAATTAACCGCCTTATTATCTCTAACTACAACACTAAACAAAAATAAGAATTATTTTTCAGTCAAACTAGTTCTTCCCTCGTATTAGTCACTGGGAGCTCGAAACTGTTAGCACCATTGCTTCGAGTGGTTTAAATTCACAATGTGTGAACAATTTGTTTAATCACTTTCTTTGTGTTAAACACTGTTTGAAAAACGTCTTGATTCTAATTGTTTATATTCATGCGCTTTAAAGCATTGACATCAGTGACAGCAATAGTTAGAGAGCAAGAGTTTGATTTTAAATAATAAATATTAAAAAAAGATTGTAGCTCTGCGTTTATTCGTATTGTCCATAGTTGGCCATTTTTATTGCTCCACTATGACGTAGTGTCGGCCATCATTCTTTTCTAATTGTTGCTGTTGTCGGCCATCATTCTTTTCTAATTGTTGCTGTTGTCGGCCATCATTCTTTTTCAATTGTTGTCGCATTGTTACTGATGTCGGCCATTATGGTTTTTTAATAGATGTATATAGTAATCAATGGTTAATATTTAAAGGAATTATTTGTAAATAGGTATGCAACACATCGTACACTTTAGAATAAATTGAACTCGTACCATTTTTAAAGCAAAGGAGGTAGTTTTCACAAAACATTACTTTACCATTTTTGTTTTAACAATTTCATTGTAAAAAGAAAAAATAAGCAAAACACATACCTACTTCAAACTGTATTTAATCGTTAAGTTTATACAAAATAGTAAATTACAACTCTATATATACTTATCACATAGATTAGTTTATTTATTGGTTTTTGCTTACTAATTGTAAGTAAAAACAATACAATTTACATATCAAAATTACAGAAACTGGTTGTATCAATACAAAAACTGAGATGCTTAATTGAACTAACATATGTAAAGACATCAATTGATGAATTTTCAAAACACTTAATTCAAAAATTGATAAAAACAAAGTAATTAAACAAAGAGATTCTTAGAGGTAATCAGTCTAGTTTATTTATTTGCTCCTTTATCCTAATATTTTCAGAAGTCTGTTTTATCTAACCAAATCCCATGTACTTGAAGAAGGATCTGTGCAAATTTTTAATGTAACCAAAGCACCAGATTCCTTTTTATTCACTGAGAGGCATCTTCCCAGAGCCATATTATAAATTGGAGTTTTACTCTAAATAAACAAAACGTTTTAAAATACTTTGTGTAGCATGATTAAATAGAAAATATAACTTTACGAATTTCATTGATTATAATAAGTAAATTGGTTAACATTTTAAAAATGAACATGAGTTCCCTAATTCACTTAATCGAAGTTTATAATTTTTTAGAAGGTTCCACACCCCTTAAAGTAATTACTATTATAAGCATTATCTAAGAACTTACTTCGCCTTTATGTTTCCATTCTTGATCGCCTCCCATTTCGTGGCATTTGTAAAGAATGGGATTGGGATCATTTGCTTGTAAGCATAATAGTTGTGCTAAAACTAGCTCATTTTTGTCAGTCTCATACCATATCTAAAATTTGATTAACTATTTTGTGTTCAATTTAATTTTTATTCGTAACTCACCTGCTGCTTTGTTCTCAAACAAGACTTAACTATGAGTAAACTTCCCTTACTTTTTAGATCTTTTTTACTTTGCAAACACAAGGTCGAATTTGTCAACCTCAGTTGGTACCGATTAATGTAATTTCGTTTTCTTGAATGCCATGGTTGATATACATTCTGTTCTAGGGCAGCCCATTTATTTTTTAATCTTTGATCGTTATCTGTAGGCAGAGCTAATTCTGGGTAAACATTCTTTAAATACCAATCAAAATCTTTGCATTTAAGCTCTTTTCTTAACTGAATTCGACTAGAAACATCGCCAAATTTCGCTTCTTTAGCTTCTGGTCTTTGACTTAAGTAATAGTCCTGAAATGTTTTATGACATTTTTAACAAATTACAAATCTTTTAAGTAGTAGTGACTGATTACGGCGGTTATTACCTAAATACGAGGTTTTTTGAAGATTTGTGCAAGCAATTCTATCTGGGCGGTATTGACATTGCAGACATAAATAACTATATATTAAATACTTTTTCTTACCTTATAATCATCCATCCAAACATAAGCAACTCTTAAGGAATTGTATAGCATTGTATCTTGACCGTCAGGGTCGCCATAAGGCCTCCGTTGTCGAAATACATGACCTACTCTACTACAAGGAATCATTTCCAATTTTCCACCACACATCCATATCTGTAAATTGAAAATGAAGAAATTGCTAGGTTCATGAACACAATAGCTAAATTTTGTTTACCCTAAATGAGATTTCTAAATTTTCTCCACCCCAAATGTTCATACCAGCATCATATTCGCCTAAATCAATAAAAAATTGTCTATTAATAGCAAAAAGACCTCCTGCCATAGTAGGTGACTTAATGGGCTTAATAAAATCTTCTGGCTTAGCTAATGTTCCTAAAAATATATGAAAAATTAGTCAGATATAAGAATCAAAAATAAAACATTAAGTGATATTACCAACTGGTAAATTTTCCCATTTAAAATGCAACCCCCAATTGAATCCCCCCCTTACTAATGGGCTAGCTGAGTATTTAAAGTTATCTGCATTAATTATATCAATGATAGGTGTCACAACAACTGTTTCATCCTCCTTAATTCTAGTTAAAAGAGGCTGAATCCAATCTAAATTAACTTCTACATGGCTGTCTAAGAAAACTATGACCTGAAACAAGAATAATTCAATTCTAGTCTTAAGAATATCAAATGTAGTTTAACCTCTCCTGTTGCTTTCCTGGCACCATGTAGTCGGGCTCGTATTAAACCTTCTCTTCTTTCAGTTCGGTACAATAAAACTTTGCCACTAAACTCTTTTTCAATAGCTGAGCTAACATTATACTGCAAATTTGGAATGTCACTAAAATCATCTACCAAAATAATTTCTTTTAGAATTTTGGACGGAGTTCTATTAATAATTGAGTGTACTGTCCTCATTAAAGTATAGAAATGTTCATTGTAAAAGCATATAATTACACTTGCTGTGGGTAAATCTGCAGTATACTGGATTTGTTGACACCTAAAATGGGATAACATAAACATTCCCATTAAAAATGAAGCAATAATAATTGTAATTAAATAATTACAACTTATTTCTAGTATCTGGGATCGTTCTGTTGTACCCCATTCTTTCACTTATGAGTACATTGAAAGCATGCAGCATATAACCTTCTTTTCTGATTTGTTCATCTTCCGGATTTTTAACCATACCTAAATCATCTAAATTGTTTTCAGTGCTATTTACTTGTCTTGACACTGGTTGTAAACTTTTAATAAGGTTATCACTATTTTTGTAAATGTTACTGTTAGGTTTTTGTAAACTTTCAATGTCGTTTGATATAATTTTACGTGATTTCTTCATAGTTAGATGCTTGTGTGAATATTTTTGATTTAAATTTCCAGTTGTAAACATAGGTATACTGTTATCTTTAATTTGCAAGCTTACTAACTTGTTAGATGGAAATACTGTTGTTTCAATATTTGATGATTTATTTAACTGCCAATATAAATATAAGGATATCAGCCACGTAACAGAGGCAAAGCAAATTCCATAAAAAAAAGATTTGTTTAAGCTGACCATTTTGAAAGGATGTTGTGGTTATCATGTGATGTAATCCAAAATATTACAAAAAAAGCTAACTTTAATGTACTAAAATTTTACAAAATTATAGAAGTCACAACTGATACATAAACATTTACTTTATTCATAAAATTCTTCAATTTTAAAAGAAACAGCAGTGAAAACTGTTTTTAAGTGTAAGGTTATGTGATTTGTAAACATTGATAAATCCATAGATTGACATGACATTTTTAGCAAAATCGTCAAGGTTAGAACAGATCAGGACTCGTTCTTATTCGCCTTTTTTTTATCGCAACAGATTACGATAGTGGTACCTTTTCGAGATTCATTTTAAAGTTGATCGTTCGTTATTTTAAAAGTGTATATGTGGAAAAAATCAAATATTTTTCGATTCATTTTTCAAAAAATATATTTTTTAGTTAATTTTGCTTTTTAACTACCTAATTTCTGATTCAATTTATTGCATAACTTAAAAAACAAACACTAATAAATGGCATTTATGTGATTTTATTAATACGCAAGTGTTACGGGGTAGTGTATTTTCAGCTTTATAATTTTAGTTCGTGACCCGGTCGCAAAATTTTGCAGTCGCACAAGCTACTGAGATTGACGTAGACCAAGGGTTTTGTTTTGGAGTGAAAAATCAAGAGCTCAGTTCTCTTTTGTTGTCGTCGCTTTTCGAATTCTTTTCCCTATAATGTCCTTTTATTTAGTGTATGTGCCGTCGATGTAATAGTAGAAAAAAAGACAATTAGAACAAAAAAAGAAACTAGCGTTTGTAAAGCAGTATTGATTTGAAATACATTTTCATTACAAATATTAATCACTAGAGCGATTTTCTTATGTAGGAGGATTTATTGTTATTTTTATGAGTTATTTTTAACGCTAACATATCGCTATTGCTTTATAAAAACTTTGCCATTGTTTTGCGGCTTTTTTATAATCAAATAAATAATATGTTTTTTTTTATAATAAAGCGCATTTCCTTATCGCTTCTACATAACTGCAATAACGCAAAAGCATGTAATTCAAGATGATCATAAACGAATTATGTTGTATATCACTACACAAGTAAACAAATTAGTTGAATATTTCACCCACATTAATAGTTAAATTTCAAACAAACGCTTGGATCTTTTTTTTTATAAAATCGGAGTGAAAATGCGTAAAAAATGTTGTTTTAAAACAGTATGGTAACCCTTATTTATTTACAACGATCAGTGCAATAAGATGTAATAAATTACGCACAACGAAAACTTATTGTGAACCTAATAGCTTTAGTTACAAGTTTTGCGATGAAGATGATACAGTGATTAAACCAAAACGTCGTCCCACAAGAAATCGTGGCGTCAACAGCCACGACCTGGTAAGTTGTTCAAATGGCGTTTTTAAAAAAGAAATTTGATTTTTCGACTTTGCTTGTTTACTTTCGAATAATTAATATTGTTCACTTATGTTTTTTTCATGTTTATCGTACATTTATAAATGTGATATAACGGCATCCTGTATTCGATAACATTCGTTGAACGTGCGTATGTTTTTAAAGTACATACTTGTAGAATTGCACTAATTTTAGATAACACCGTGTCACATGTTTTGGTTTAGTTTTGGCGAATGGTCAAAATTCTGGTGCTTGAATTATGTATACGTATATCGACAACGTAGCACTTACATAGCAGTTCCGCAGTTTATTTGCGGACTATTATTATTTCTTTAAATAACATGCAGAGTCGATTTCCCGCTAATATCCAATCAAATAGACAAAACTTGAATGTTTCACAAGATCTTGTGGCTATACTCAAACTACATATATATCGTAGTTGCTATTTTATATATGTCCATCCATATATTATCAATAGAGCCTTTTTAGCAAAATGCTGTAAGTGTAAGACAAAGTGTTATTTTAATGTAGAATTTATTATTCCATTAATAATATGATAACAAATGGACAGATGGTAGAAACACTCAACGTTACAATCAAGTTTTTTTGTGTTTATTGTATGATTAAATCTATTGTTTTTTGCTATATTTTGGTATCCTTTTAAGTATACATATTACTCATCACGGGAAGAAAGTTCTCTCCCCGATGTGAAATGTCACCCGAGCCGATGGCGTAGGCGACAAACTTCCGGGAGGGGTGTCGTACTTTTTTCCCCAAGGCTTGTAGGTGTATGATTTTTTTTCACCACTCCGAAAGTATATTTTACCCCGAGTTCAGGGACAAAAGCGCAATATTTCCTCCTCCCTAGAATCATTAGAAAAGAATTTTAGTATCCTCCACAGGGTCCATCCACAATCTCCGTCTCTAGTGGCAATTTCAATTAAAAATTCTTAAAAACAGTAAATGCAATTTCATATCTGGGAATTTATGCTATATTTTCTTGTCCCTACAATCAGGAAAAAGTTTATTTTCGGGTAGGACTATAATAGAAACTTGTGTACATGCTTTGGAAAAAAAGTAGGTACGGCATTCCTCTCGGGAGTTTTGCCGCGCTCCCTTCGGCTCGGGTGGAATTTACACACACGAGGGAATGCTTTATTCCCTTGTTACGTAATATACTATTTATTATATGTAACATTATTTTGTTAATCTGTATTAATTTTATCAATTACGTATGGTATTACATCATCAACCAAATAAAATATCACTGCTGTTTACATCTACAGACAATACAGTAAATATATTGAAAAATTTAAGTCGAATTTTAATAAATATTTGGCACAACTTGCCCTCTTATTTTATTATCGTGTATACTCATATCTGCAGTCTTAAACTAATTCGAAAATTATTAATTAGAGAAATAACAAACAAGAAAAATATTATGAGGATTTTTACTCATAAATTATACCTAGTCCCTTCGGAAAGCGGTTGGCTCTGATATCAATTTGAAATGAGATCAGGATTAGGTCAGTGGTTAAAGCAGAAAATCGGGCGACAGACAGACGGGCACTTAAAAAACTTCAGCCATTCTTCATCAATTTTATGCAGAACATAAATCACAGCGAAAATACGAAAATTGTAAATACTCCTCGCCTTTATAGCAAAAAAATTATTTGTTTGATTTGATATTTACAAAGAAAACAATTACATAATAATAAAATTAATTCTTAACGTCTAACAAATGAAAAATAATGCAAATGCCTACGTAGGTAGGACCTCATTCGTTTTTCTATTTGTTATAAGAGCCTTCTTTTTTTAATTACCTATCTATAAAAGCTACAAGATTCTTTTTAACATATAATTTTCTAAAAAACAAATTAAGTCGCGAATTTATCATTTATAATAATGTGTTGCGTTAGGTAAATTATAATCGCCCATTTATATTAATATTCACACGAAATATTGATTAGTGTTAGAACGAATCGTTTGTTTAAAAATAAAAGTGACAGAATGTAAGTAATTGATACGTATCTGCCTACATAAAATTTAAAAAAGCCATTTTTTGAGACAATTTAGCGAAAGCAATGAAGTGCCTTACTTTTGCGGCAGTCGCCTTTTGTTTGCTATTGATTTTCCTGGGAAACGTTTATTTTTAATATCACATGACTTGCTTATCATGTTCCTTCCTTAATTACGAATTATCGATCGAATAATTGACAAATGCCAACAATTTTTTTTATCTTTATTTCTTAATTTCAAGAAAATCATTTTATCCCCAATATTTTAATAGATTTGATAGTCTAGATCTAGACTGCATGGAGGCGACACTTAATTTATGCTTTTGCTTTCATCAGAACTTACTACAAAGTCAACATTTATGACATGTTTATTCTTAACATTGCGTTTTTGCCAAAATATTTGCGATCAGACGTAGTGTATTACAATTATTTGCAAGATTGTGTACGTAATGCACCGTTTTTGAATCGACTTACGTGAACCATCGTTAGCATTATTTATTATGTAGTTATTGTACTCATATACAACCAGATATTTTTATACTACCTGTAGTTTTTAAAACGTAAAGGAAAAACATTACAAGATGTTTTAGAATATTTATGTAAATAAGTTTTAATGTTTAATAAAAGGTCTAAAACTGATAGAAGCTTTCTAAGGCCTAGCGCGCACTGCGATTTTTTAGTCGCGATTAAAAAATCGCAAACGACTCTATTTTTCTTGCGACGCGATTATCGCAACTCACTGATGATTATCTGTTGTTTTGTACATAATTAATTAATACATTGTGGTTATCAAACATGCCTTATTATGAGTCCTCTCTTGCAAAGAAAGAAGAAACGTTACATAGTGCTTTGGATACGGAAATAATGATATTTGAAATTGAAAAAAGGAAACTGTCGTTTGACTAATCTCTGATTTATGACAAAAATATCTACATTTTGGCTTTCCGCAATTCAATATTAGAATGACGGGGGTTTACCCAAAACAGAAAACATTGCCGTTTAGTCTACAAGATAAAAAGTAGAAGGCCGTTGCGCATTGTGTTCGCATCGCACGGGAATTATGAAACAGGCAATATTTGACTTATTACTTAATTAAATTTTTTCTACTCTATAGGGGGACAGTTACCCCCTTTAGCAACGCCCTTGCTCCCTCCCTTAAAAGTTTTTTAAATCAGGTTTAAATTAAAAGGTAAAGGTTATATATCAGTTGAAAATGTAAATTAATCTGTTAGCCTTTTTATATTTTGCAATTAAATAAATTTTTGCCCATTTCAGGAATCGTTGTTTCGACAGCGAAACGTCGGTTTAACGTGACGGTACTGTCCAGTGGTCCTTCTGAGGATGGGACCCACTTGCAGTCCTCAAATACACCAGGGAGCCGCGGACAACCGTTTGCGAGCATCCCCGAAGATCACGCGCTACAAGAACCTTATCAAGAAAGTTATCACGAAACTAGTGCAACCAACAGCAGGGTTCCGTCTCGAGCCGCCTCCCCCGCCCTATCCTGGGATTTTAATTTGGACAGCGACTCAGTGAGTTTATAAAGAAATTTGAATAATAATTTATTTCTAGTTTTTAAACAAAAACAACTCTTCTATACTAAAACCAAAAACTATAATAGAAATCGCATATTATTACTCAATTTTTATTTTCTCCGTCTGCCACTGGAATCTGCTACAGCAATTGAGCATTGCGTCATGTAGTGCGATTAATAATTTAACGATATCATGGTTACCACGATACAGTTCTATCGAACACTTCTGTTCTGTGTTTTCTAATTTGAATGAGACTTCTGCATTTAACCGGGTAGATGGCGATGTGTATCTGTTTGTGTGATATATTTAACCGTATATTGTAGACATTTCAATACCCGTCAACGTTCTTTAGCTTTGCGCAGTGGCGATATCGTAACCAATGAGGTTTATCCGAGGTCCGATTATTGCTAGTTGAAAACTTTAACCAATACCCCGCCTAGGGCACGTGAAATACCGTGCACTAAGGCAATTTTTGGAAGCCTCTACGGGGGCTAATAATGAATAAAAACAGAAAAATTCGTCTAGGTTTGAAATACAGCTTAAAGAAGTATTGTATTAATGTATTTGATCTTTGAGCGTTCAAAGTATACCAGAAACGTAACGAGCGTAATTAACGTTTAATTGAAAGTTGAAGTATATAGACGTGAGATAAGTAGAGGTATATTGCTTAGTGCGATTTTTGTTCTGTAATAGTAAACAATGCTTTAAATGTTTACCTATTAAAGTAAAGTTACAATTTATCAATTCATAAAGTAAAAGTATGTTAGCTAGTAATAGTTACAAAATATATCGTTTTATTGATTGTAAGATTTAATAACTACTTATTAATGAATGTTTTGTACTAAATAGTACTGGCTGGATAAAAAGAATAACTTTGTACCACATGATGACGTCACCTTAATATTTAGACAGTAGTTGTAATTACTAACGAAGTTAATTTGCTAATTAAAAGGTATTTTGTAATTTTATTCCCGGAATATTGGAAGTTCTACGAAGTTAGTTTCCTTTATGATGACATGAGAATGGTTCATTTTTAAACGGTTGGTAATAAACAGCTGACGGTCGGTCGAGTTAAATGTCTCCGCCTCTTGCGTCAGTTTGCGAAACTACAAATTCATATGGAGAACTGGAATAAAATTTCCAGTCATTGTAAAGCTGTCGTTGTGGGTGGTTTAAGTGTACATATCGTTTATTTTTACATTTACACGTGTTGCAGAAATTTTATTAGAGGCCGCCAGTGTAATATTCTAAGGTTTCCCTATGAATAAAATGTGGAAACATGGATTATTCGTAAAGTGAACTTTAGTGTTGTACCTGTGCATGTGTTATTGTGAAGTATTAAAACATTGTTTATTATTGGTGCCACATTCGAAATATTTTTCTGAAAGGTAGACTGCTGTTAAGTGTTTTTTTTTATTTGTGTTCATTTGTTCTGGCATGGAAGTATTTTCTATAATTTAGACACGTTGTTTACATCAATAAGGTAAATCTTGGTTTTTATTTACAAACGTCTGCTTACATATTAATTACTGTTTCATAAACGAGGTTAAATGTAAATTTTCTGCAAACAGGTATTGTGTAAGCCAACACATTTTTTTGGGGTAATTCGAAAGTTGAAGGGTTGTCTCCTAATTTGAAAATTAAAAATATTTTTAGGTTAACTTTTGCTTATTGCATAATGGATAGACAAACTATACAAACAGCCTTACAAGATATTCAATTTTTTTCTACATACAGAAGATGCTGCAGATTCTTTTTTTAATTATCAGTCTAAGGTATATTGTCGATTGTTTACTGTGTGTATTAATTTGCTCACGTGACCATTATACCTGAGAGATATTTTTTTAAGAAGTTATTCCTTTGACTACTATTAAACAAAGCAATGTTTTTACCCATATGCACATTACATTACTTGAGAATTTTATAAATATTAGGTCAAATAATCGAAACTTAGCAAGAAATTAATAGTAAGTAGGTATACTGTTACATAGTACTTAGGTACTTAATTTTCTAAAGAGGGGGTATTATTTTATTATGATCTTTGGATAATAATTGTGGTTGATTTATAAATGCCAATTGTAGGTCGTTATATAGGAGGTAGTTTACTGTTACTACTAGGGGACTATAAGTACTTTTTTTAATAGGACAGTCTTTTCAAACGTTTCAAAAGTTTTTCAAGTATTAAATGTTCGTTTTTCTAATGATACACAAAATTATGTCCTACGTTTTCTTTAAATTAATAAACGAAATAACCTTACGGTTATTTGGATATTCTGCATACCTACTTCAATTTTATAGCCCCTTGAGTAGCCACTCGAATTGCTTTGCTGTAAGACAGAACACCCCTACCTAAAACGACTGATATAAAGATTTGGATGATCAATCTGGCGCACGTCGAAGAAAAATTAACTTTAAAATAAGTATATCAGAGTCGTACCGAGGGGTTGGGTGGGACTAGTGATGTCAAACGTAGAAATATACCTTTTTGGTATACAAGAATAAGAAGATGTTGGTTCCAATAAAAATCTATAAAAAACAACTCTTTGTCTTTAACTGTAGAAAGAGCACTTTATGATAGGGTGTATACAATACTATACTATACAGCAAGAAAGAGTGTTGTCCCATTATTTAAATCCATGTGGTCGTCAGGATAGTTTGGTAGGTATCAGACATGAAAGGCTAGTTAGAGTCATTGGAAATAGAAACAGGAGTGAAGAGGAGTAGAAGTCGACCTTGATTAGATTACCGTTTACAAATAGTTAAGGATGTGGGATGTTCTGGTTTTAAGGAAATGCGAAGATTAGCTCAGCATAGGATTTTTTCAAGAGCTGTCTTTTCTCTGAACATCTATATACAAATACCTAAATTGCTCAAAGAAAAAGTTAGAGACGATTTAATAAAAAAAAACTGCGATTTTTGGTAATTTTCTATTTCGTTTTTTAATAGTCTCGAAAATTTCTTCGTTTTTGAATCACTTGGTGAAAATTGAAAGAGGTGCCTTTTTTAGGATTACTCAAAAACGCACCGTTTAAAAAAGGGGCAATGGTTCTTTTCCTTAAAAATTGTAAATGATTTTTTTTTTCAAGAATTACGGTCACCCTTTTGATATACAAGTGTTACATATTTATAATGTAGGATATTGATCCAAATTTTACCTCTGGTGTTTCAATTTTTAGAAATAAATTGAAAATTAATAATTTATTTTTTTTTTATATATTATGTAGGCGTGGAAGGTATATAAGTATATGTATGTATGTAGCTGCTCTTAATTTAATAGTAGACAATGAAAAACAATTTAGAAGGTGTAGAAGAATAAAGAACTTAATGTGATTAGTACCTGTAAGTATTCACGTTGTTAGCTGCCCACTGTCCAGAGACCCCAGTTATACAAGTTGTTTGTAATATGGTTCATTACATAATCACAAGTTACGTATAAAAATGCACATATTGGTGTAAACTATTTGTTCGTCAATACCTAACACTATAATGAATTGATAATTTTTCGATTTGTTGTTTCTTCCATCGTTTCTGCAAAAACACGAATGAAATGTTTTAAGTATTGAAAGAAGAGAGTCTACAAAATAGTTAATAAAAAACAACCCTCAAGCAAATTTAAACATACGTACAAATGAGTAGTTGTAATTGGTTTTTCATTTCCGCATTTTCTTAATTCCATACTATAAAAAATAGTAAATAAAATACAGCAAGTAACAGTTTATTATTATTATTATTCCTACTGTAAACAGGTACAGGTGTTTGACACCTCATTAATTTCCATTTAAGATAAATACGAGTTAAAGATGGAAACAACAATGATAATAATTTTAATAACTCAATAAAGTTCAGTCATTAATCATTTTCAATTTATTAAATACATTAAATTACTTTGATTATTTTGTAATTAAAGAAGTGTGCTTTTATTATTAGTGTAAACTACCCAGCTGGATTTAATTTTGATTGACTAGTTACATATATAGGAACTTCCAAGTACATAGCTAAAAATTGTAATTTTCGTTCAAGGACTTGCCGTTTTGGTTGGACGTAATACTAATAGGAACAGCGCAAAAAGTTGCTTAGAGTGTGGTTCTTTTTTTGCTGATCATCCGCGAAATGATCAACTTAAACTTGTTAAAGCGGTGATAAATAATTTTACTATTTTATAATGTACGAAGATAATGTCAATTTTTATGGAAATGGTTTCTTTGTATTTACTACGATAAAGGAGGTATGCATAAGGTTGAGCTCCCACTCAGAAGTAGAGTAGTTCAAATAAGCTGAGGAGTTACTCGTATTTTTGAAAGAGCTGACTCGCATTTATGCATATGTTACGGTTAATGTCTGATTTTTAAACTAGCTGGATGGTAGGTATACAAATTGTCTAAATTAGGGAAGCATCGGTTTATGGAAGAAGATTGTCTCAAGAAGTTAATGCTTTCTTCTACTGTCACTTATTATCCCAAACAGACAATTTGTAAGGTATCCAGCTAGCTTGAAAATTAACCAATCAAGCATATTAATAACCGTAACAGACAAAAATTTGAGGAGATAGTCAAGAAGCGAGGAAAAGAGAGTATACCTCTGTATAGTATGCATCCCTTAAAAATAAATTGTTGCTTATTTTTAAAATACTATCGTTGAGCGTAAGAAATGTCTACCCCTTCTTTGTGTTAAAAGTGTTAAAATAATAATAATCATCATCATAAGGTCGTCAGTCCTAAGACTGGTTGGACATGTACCTCCACTCTTTCCTATTGAGCTAAACATCGCATTTCCCTAAAACTAGAACAGCCCACATCCTTAACTATTTGCGAACAGTAATCTAATCTAGGTCTACCTCTACCCCTCCTAACTCTTGTTTCTGCCTCNCCCTAGAATCATTAGAAAAGAATTTTAGTATCCTCCACAGGGTCCATCCACAATCTCCGTCTCTAGTGGCAATTTCAATTAAAAATTCTTAAAAACAGTAAATGCAATTTCATATCTGGGAATTTATGCTATATTTTCTTGTCCCTACAATCAGGAAAAAGTTTATTTTCGGGTAGGACTATAATAGAAACTTGTGTACATGCTTTGGAAAAAAAGTAGGTACGGCATTCCTCTCGGGAGTTTTGCCGCGCTCCCTTCGGCTCGGGTGGAATTTACACACACGAGGGAATGCTTTATTCCCTTGTTACGTAATATACTATTTATTATATGTAACATTATTTTGTTAATCTGTATTAATTTTATCAATTACGTATGGTATTACATCATCAACCAAATAAAATATCACTGCTGTTTACATCTACAGACAATACAGTAAATATATTGAAAAATTTAAGTCGAATTTTAATAAATATTTGGCACAACTTGCCCTCTTATTTTATTATCGTGTATACTCATATCTGCAGTCTTAAACTAATTCGAAAATTATTAATTAGAGAAATAACAAACAAGAAAAATATTATGAGGATTTTTACTCATAAATTATACCTAGTCCCTTCGGAAAGCGGTTGGCTCTGATATCAATTTGAAATGAGATCAGGATTAGGTCAGTGGTTAAAGCAGAAAATCGGGCGACAGACAGACGGGCACTTAAAAAACTTCAGCCATTCTTCATCAATTTTATGCAGAACATAAATCACAGCGAAAATACGAAAATTGTAAATACTCCTCGCCTTTATAGCAAAAAAATTATTTGTTTGATTTGATATTTACAAAGAAAACAATTACATAATAATAAAATTAATTCTTAACGTCTAACAAATGAAAAATAATGCAAATGCCTACGTAGGTAGGACCTCATTCGTTTTTCTATTTGTTATAAGAGCCTTCTTTTTTTAATTACCTATCTATAAAAGCTACAAGATTCTTTTTAACATATAATTTTCTAAAAAACAAATTAAGTCGCGAATTTATCATTTATAATAATGTGTTGCGTTAGGTAAATTATAATCGCCCATTTATATTAATATTCACACGAAATATTGATTAGTGTTAGAACGAATCGTTTGTTTAAAAATAAAAGTGACAGAATGTAAGTAATTGATACGTATCTGCCTACATAAAATTTAAAAAAGCCATTTTTTGAGACAATTTAGCGAAAGCAATGAAGTGCCTTACTTTTGCGGCAGTCGCCTTTTGTTTGCTATTGATTTTCCTGGGAAACGTTTATTTTTAATATCACATGACTTGCTTATCATGTTCCTTCCTTAATTACGAATTATCGATCGAATAATTGACAAATGCCAACAATTTTTTTTATCTTTATTTCTTAATTTCAAGAAAATCATTTTATCCCCAATATTTTAATAGATTTGATAGTCTAGATCTAGACTGCATGGAGGCGACACTTAATTTATGCTTTTGCTTTCATCAGAACTTACTACAAAGTCAACATTTATGACATGTTTATTCTTAACATTGCGTTTTTGCCAAAATATTTGCGATCAGACGTAGTGTATTACAATTATTTGCAAGATTGTGTACGTAATGCACCGTTTTTGAATCGACTTACGTGAACCATCGTTAGCATTATTTATTATGTAGTTATTGTACTCATATACAACCAGATATTTTTATACTACCTGTAGTTTTTAAAACGTAAAGGAAAAACATTACAAGATGTTTTAGAATATTTATGTAAATAAGTTTTAATGTTTAATAAAAGGTCTAAAACTGATAGAAGCTTTCTAAGGCCTAGCGCGCACTGCGATTTTTTAGTCGCGATTAAAAAATCGCAAACGACTCTATTTTTCTTGCGACGCGATTATCGCAACTCACTGATGATTATCTGTTGTTTTGTACATAATTAATTAATACATTGTGGTTATCAAACATGCCTTATTATGAGTCCTCTCTTGCAAAGAAAGAAGAAACGTTACATAGTGCTTTGGATACGGAAATAATGATATTTGAAATTGAAAAAAGGAAACTGTCGTTTGACTAATCTCTGATTTATGACAAAAATATCTACATTTTGGCTTTCCGCAATTCAATATTAGAATGACGGGGGTTTACCCAAAACAGAAAACATTGCCGTTTAGTCTACAAGATAAAAAGTAGAAGGCCGTTGCGCATTGTGTTCGCATCGCACGGGAATTATGAAACAGGCAATATTTGACTTATTACTTAATTAAATTTTTTCTACTCTATAGGGGGACAGTTACCCCCTTTAGCAACGCCCTTGCTCCCTCCCTTAAAAGTTTTTTAAATCAGGTTTAAATTAAAAGGTAAAGGTTATATATCAGTTGAAAATGTAAATTAATCTGTTAGCCTTTTTATATTTTGCAATTAAATAAATTTTTGCCCATTTCAGGAATCGTTGTTTCGACAGCGAAACGTCGGTTTAACGTGACGGTACTGTCCAGTGGTCCTTCTGAGGATGGGACCCACTTGCAGTCCTCAAATACACCAGGGAGCCGCGGACAACCGTTTGCGAGCATCCCCGAAGATCACGCGCTACAAGAACCTTATCAAGAAAGTTATCACGAAACTAGTGCAACCAACAGCAGGGTTCCGTCTCGAGCCGCCTCCCCCGCCCTATCCTGGGATTTTAATTTGGACAGCGACTCAGTGAGTTTATAAAGAAATTTGAATAATAATTTATTTCTAGTTTTTAAACAAAAACAACTCTTCTATACTAAAACCAAAAACTATAATAGAAATCGCATATTATTACTCAATTTTTATTTTCTCCGTCTGCCACTGGAATCTGCTACAGCAATTGAGCATTGCGTCATGTAGTGCGATTAATAATTTAACGATATCATGGTTACCACGATACAGTTCTATCGAACACTTCTGTTCTGTGTTTTCTAATTTGAATGAGACTTCTGCATTTAACCGGGTAGATGGCGATGTGTATCTGTTTGTGTGATATATTTAACCGTATATTGTAGACATTTCAATACCCGTCAACGTTCTTTAGCTTTGCGCAGTGGCGATATCGTAACCAATGAGGTTTATCCGAGGTCCGATTATTGCTAGTTGAAAACTTTAACCAATACCCCGTCTAGGGCACGTGAAATACCGTGCACTAAGGCAATTTTTGGAAGCCTCTACGGGGGCTAATAATGAATAAAAACAGAAAAATTCGTCTAGGTTTGAAATACAGCTTAAAGAAGTATTGTATTAATGTATTTGATCTTTGAGCGTTCAAAGTATACCAGAAACGTAACGAGCGTAATTAACGTTTAATTGAAAGTTGAAGTATATAGACGTGAGATAAGTAGAGGTATATTGCTTAGTGCGATTTTTGTTCTGTAATAGTAAACAATGCTTTAAATGTTTACCTATTAAAGTAAAGTTACAATTTATCAATTCATAAAGTAAAAGTATGTTAGCTAGTAATAGTTACAAAATATATCGTTTTATTGATTGTAAGATTTAATAACTACTTATTAATGAATGTTTTGTACTAAATAGTACTGGCTGGATAAAAAGAATAACTTTGTACCACATGATGACGTCACCTTAATATTTAGACAGTAGTTGTAATTACTAACGAAGTTAATTTGCTAATTAAAAGGTATTTTGTAATTTTATTCCCGGAATATTGGAAGTTCTACGAAGTTAGTTTCCTTTATGATGACATGAGAATGGTTCATTTTTAAACGGTTGGTAATAAACAGCTGACGGTCGGTCGAGTTAAATGTCTCCGCCTCTTGCGTCAGTTTGCGAAACTACAAATTCATATGGAGAACTGGAATAAAATTTCCAGTCATTGTAAAGCTGTCGTTGTGGGTGGTTTAAGTGTACATATCGTTTATTTTTACATTTACACGTGTTGCAGAAATTTTATTAGAGGCCGCCAGTGTAATATTCTAAGGTTTCCCTATGAATAAAATGTGGAAACATGGATTATTCGTAAAGTGAACTTTAGTGTTGTACCTGTGCATGTGTTATTGTGAAGTATTAAAACATTGTTTATTATTGGTGCCACATTCGAAATATTTTTCTGAAAGGTAGACTGCTGTTAAGTGTTTTTTTTTATTTGTGTTCATTTGTTCTGGCATGGAAGTATTTTCTATAATTTAGACACGTTGTTTACATCAATAAGGTAAATCTTGGTTTTTATTTACAAACGTCTGCTTACATATTAATTACTGTTTCATAAACGAGGTTAAATGTAAATTTTCTGCAAACAGGTATTGTGTAAGCCAACACATTTTTTTGGGGTAATTCGAAAGTTGAAGGGTTGTCTCCTAATTTGAAAATTAAAAATATTTTTAGGTTAACTTTTGCTTATTGCATAATGGATAGACAAACTATACAAACAGCCTTACAAGATATTCAATTTTTTTCTACATACAGAAGATGCTGCAGATTCTTTTTTTAATTATCAGTCTAAGGTATATTGTCGATTGTTTACTGTGTGTATTAATTTGCTCACGTGACCATTATACCTGAGAGATATTTTTTTAAGAAGTTATTCCTTTGACTACTATTAAACAAAGCAATGTTTTTACCCATATGCACATTACATTACTTGAGAATTTTATAAATATTAGGTCAAATAATCGAAACTTAGCAAGAAATTAATAGTAAGTAGGTATACTGTTACATAGTACTTAGGTACTTAATTTTCTAAAGAGGGGGTATTATTTTATTATGATCTTTGGATAATAATTGTGGTTGATTTATAAATGCCAATTGTAGGTCGTTATATAGGAGGTAGTTTACTGTTACTACTAGGGGACTATAAGTACTTTTTTTAATAGGACAGTCTTTTCAAACGTTTCAAAAGTTTTTCAAGTATTAAATGTTCGTTTTTCTAATGATACACAAAATTATGTCCTACGTTTTCTTTAAATTAATAAACGAAATAACCTTACGGTTATTTGGATATTCTGCATACCTACTTCAATTTTATAGCCCCTTGAGTAGCCACTCGAATTGCTTTGCTGTAAGACAGAACACCCCTACCTAAAACGACTGATATAAAGATTTGGATGATCAATCTGGCGCACGTCGAAGAAAAATTAACTTTAAAATAAGTATATCAGAGTCGTACCGAGGGGTTGGGTGGGACTAGTGATGTCAAACGTAGAAATATACCTTTTTGGTATACAAGAATAAGAAGATGTTGGTTCCAATAAAAATCTATAAAAAACAACTCTTTGTCTTTAACTGTAGAAAGAGCACTTTATGATAGGGTGTATACAATACTATACTATACAGCAAGAAAGAGTGTTGTCCCATTATTTAAATCCATGTGGTCGTCAGGATAGTTTGGTAGGTATCAGACATGAAAGGCTAGTTAGAGTCATTGGAAATAGAAACAGGAGTGAAGAGGAGTAGAAGTCGACCTTGATTAGATTACCGTTTACAAATAGTTAAGGATGTGGGATGTTCTGGTTTTAAGGAAATGCGAAGATTAGCTCAGCATAGGATTTTTTCAAGAGCTGTCTTTTCTCTGAACATCTATATACAAATACCTAAATTGCTCAAAGAAAAAGTTAGAGACGATTTAATAAAAAAAAACTGCGATTTTTGGTAATTTTCTATTTCGTTTTTTAATAGTCTCGAAAATTTCTTCGTTTTTGAATCACTTGGTGAAAATTGAAAGAGGTGCCTTTTTTAGGATTACTCAAAAACGCACCGTTTAAAAAAGGGGCAATGGTTCTTTTCCTTAAAAATTGTAAATGATTTTTTTTTTCAAGAATTACGGTCACCCTTTTGATATACAAGTGTTACATATTTATAATGTAGGATATTGATCCAAATTTTACCTCTGGTGTTTCAATTTTTAGAAATAAATTGAAAATTAATAATTTATTTTTTTTTTATATATTATGTAGGCGTGGAAGGTATATAAGTATATGTATGTATGTAGCTGCTCTTAATTTAATAGTAGACAATGAAAAACAATTTAGAAGGTGTAGAAGAATAAAGAACTTAATGTGATTAGTACCTGTAAGTATTCACGTTGTTAGCTGCCCACTGTCCAGAGACCCCAGTTATACAAGTTGTTTGTAATATGGTTCATTACATAATCACAAGTTACGTATAAAAATGCACATATTGGTGTAAACTATTTGTTCGTCAATACCTAACACTATAATGAATTGATAATTTTTCGATTTGTTGTTTCTTCCATCGTTTCTGCAAAAACACGAATGAAATGTTTTAAGTATTG